AACTAGCTGTGTTCTCTGAAGAGAGATCCACATTGTATTGCCTCCTTAATTCCTGCTTTAACCCATGGAGCAGTGCATGTGGTTGCTTGGTGCTTGCAGGGCAGCACTAGTCACCTGAGTGCTACACCTGCATAAAGTAACGAGGGTATCATTCCTGCCATGACTGTTAAGCAAAGCACTGCAGCAGCAACATGTGAACGCTCACAGCCACTGCAGCTTAAGGGGGTAGCGGTTGGGGACAGTAAAAGTACAGCACAACTCTGGGATTTTATGGACCCCCCCCACTAGTGTGAATGAGCCCTGAAACACTTTTTAAATAGATAGTGTATTTAAGGTAGGACTGGAGGAAATGCGCTGGGAAAAATAAAAGCATGTCTGGATGTGCCTTTGAGGTGACTAGTGTTGATAAGGTTGGAAGATTGTACTGTATTTATATTGCATATTTTTTATTTAAAACAATTCTGGTTATAGATATCTTATACACTATATTCCGAAAAGTATTGGAACGCCTGCCTTTACACTCACATGAACTTTAATGGCATCCCAGTCTTAGTCCGTAGGGTTCAATATTGAGTTGGCCCACCCTTTGCAGCTATAACAGCTTCAACTCTTCTGGGAAGGCTGTCCACAAGGTTTAGGAGTGTGTCTATGGGAATGTTTAACCATTCTTTCAGAAGAGCATTTGTGAAGTTAGGCACTGATGTTGGACGAGAAGGCCTGGCTCGCAGTCTCTACTCTAATGCATCCCAAAGGTGTTCTATCGGGTTGAGATCAGTCAAATTCCTCCACACCAAATTTGCTCATTCATGTCTTTATGGACCTTGCTTGGTATGCTGGTGCGCAGTCATGTTGGAACAGGAAGGGGCCCTCAACCATACTACCGTTCTCCTGGCAACCACCAAACCCAGACATTTCCATAGGATTGCCAGACAGAGAAGTGTGATTCATCACTCCGGAGAACACGTCTCCAATGCTCTATAGTCCAGTGGCACCGTGCTTTACATCACTTTACATTACTTGGCGATGTAAGGCTTGGATGCAGCTACTCGGCCATGGAAACCCATTCCATGAAGCTCTCTATGCACTGTTGTTGTGCTAATCTGAAGGCCACATGAAGTTTGGAGGTCTTTAGCTATTGACTCTGCAGACAGTTGGTGACTTCTGCACACTGTGTGCTTCAGCATGCACTGCCCCCGCTCTGTCATTTTACGTGGCCTACCACTTCGTGGATGAGTTGCTGTTGTTCCCAGTTGTTATAATACCACTAACAGCTGACTGTGGAATATTTAGTAGCGAGGAAATTTCATGGATGGACTTATTGCACAGGTAGCAACCTATCACGGTACCACGTTTGAATTCACTGAGCTCCTGAGAGCGACCCATTTTTTCACAAATGTTTGTAGAAGCAGTCTGCATGCCTAGGTGCTTGACTGTATACAGCTGTGGCCATGGAGGTGAATGGAAAACTTGAATCCAATGATTTGGAGAGGTATTCCAATACGTTTAGCAATATAGCATATGTAGCACTATCCTCTTGAGGGTCACTGTATTTGTTTTGGGTCCCCCTAAGCTCTGCACAGCCAGGTAACATGTATTTTCTACACTTGTAGTCCGTAAATAGTCCTAGAGTTGTTTTTCAGTTGTTTTTATTAGGGGTTAACAACTTGGATGGGGTCTAGGGGTATATGAGATTGTCACTCCAGAGAACACGTCTCCACTGCTCTAGAGTCCAGAGGTGGTGTGCTTTACACCACTGCATCTGACGCTTTGCACTCGGTGATATAAGGCTTGGATGCAGCTGCTCGGCCATGGAAACCCATTCCATAAAGTGCTCTATGCACTGTTGTTGTGCTAATCTGAAGGCCACATGAAGTTTGGAGGTCTTTAGCTATTGACTCTGCAGACAGTTGGTGACTTCTATGCGCTTCAGCATGCGCTGACCCCACTCTGTCATTTTATGTGGTCTACCACTTCATGGTTGAGTTGCTGTTGTTTCCAGTTGCTTCCACTTTGTTATAATACCACTAACAGTTGACCGTAGAATGTTTAGCAGCAAGGAATTTCATGGATGGACTTTTTGCACAGGTGGCAACCTATCGCTGTACCTCACTTGAATTCACTGAGCTCCTGAGAGCGAGCCATTCTTTCACAAATGTTTGCAGAAGCAGTCTCCATGCCTAGATGCTTGATTTTATACACCTGTGGCCATGGAGGTGATTGCAACACCTGAATCCAATGATTTGGAGGGGTGTCCCAATACTTTAGGCAATATAGTGTGCATAGTTATATACAAGCTGGACCATTGTAACTATGTATATATATCAGTGGTGGGCAACCTTTTTTTTCAACTGAGCCAAATCTCGCCAAAACCACGATTGAAATTTATTTTGAGAGCCACATTTTTAAAACTGAAAATACATCTCCCATATAGTAATGCATCCCCCATATAGTAATTCATCCCCCATATAGTAATTCATCCCCCATAGAGTAATTCATCCCCCATAGAGTAATTCATCCCCCATATAGTAATTCATCCCCCATAGTAATAATCATCCCCCATATAGCAATTCATCCCCCATATAGCAATTCATCCCCCATAGTAATTCATCCCCCATAGTAATTCATCCCCCATAGTAATTCATCCCCCATATAGTAATTCATCCCCCATATAGCAATTCATCCCCCATATAGCAATTCATCCCCCATATAGTAATTCATCCCCCATATAGTAATTCATCCCCCATAGTAATTCATCCCCCATAGGAATTCATCCCCCATAGGAATTCATCCCCCCATAGGAATTCATCCCCCCATAGGAATTCATCCCCCATATAGTAATTCATCCCCCATAGTAATTCATCCCCCATATAGTAATTCATCCCCCATATAGTAATTCATCCCCCATAGTAATTCATCCCCCATATAGTAATTCATCTCCCATATAGTAATTCATCCCCCATATAGTAAGTCCCACATATAGTAAGTCCCCCATATAGTAAGTCCCCCCCCCATATAGTAAGTCCCCCCCCCATATAGTAAGTCCCCCCCCCATATAGTAAGTCCCCCCCCCATATAGTAATTCATCCCCCATATAGTAAGTTCCCCCCCATATAGTAAGTCCCCCCCATATAGTAAGTCCCCCATATAGTAATTCATCCCCCATATAGTAAAGCCCCCCTGTGTCAATTCACTTACCTTTGCTCCGCGCGTTCCTCTCGTCGTGCTTCCCGCGCCGTTCTGGTCTTCAGGGCGGACTGTGAGAGGAGAGGAGTTCGTCACGCTGCCCCGCCTACATCCTGGCTGCCCCGCCTACATCCTGACAGCTGCAGAGCCCTGACTTTTGGGGCGGCCGCCCGAGAGGAGGGAGGGGAGCGGGCGGGCGGCCCGTCCGAGAGGAGGGAGGGGAGGTGAGGGGAGGTGAGGGGGCGGCCGCCCGGCACACGCCCGTCCGAGAGGAGGGAGGGAGGGAGGGGAGGGAGGGGAGCGGGCGCCCGGCACACAGAAGAGCCGCATTTAAGCTTGTAAAGAGCCGCATGTGGCTCGCGAGCCGCGGCTTGCCGACCACTGGTATATATCATACTTGGCAGCTGCTTATGGAAATTGGAAATCACTGAAGTAGATGCTGCTCCATGGATCTCCACTTGCTGCTGTGTTCCTTGCCAAGAAGCTGGCCTTATGCATTCTGAACACAAGAAGGTCAAATGGCATAGATGTTATTCAGAGAATGCTTTACATTTTTTGAAAGAATGCAAAACATTCCTTTATTGGATGATGTCAAATCAGAGAACGCTTTGTATTAATTCAGAACAAGCAATACATTCCCTGAATGGCACTGGTGCCGAACAACCGACTTCCTGTGTTCTCAATGCATCAGGCAAGCCACTCAGTGCAGGATAGTAGCGGTGTCTATTTCAGAGATTTCAAGCTTCCAGAGGGATCAGCCAGACAGAGGCGTCCCTAGGGTAGGTGTCACCCGGTGCGGTAACACTTGGTGACACCCCCTCCGACGATCCCGATGGATCGGATCTGCGGATTGAGCATAACGGATCGGAGTCCGATCCGTTATGCTCAATTTGCTGATCCGATGCATCCTGTGGGAATTGTCGGCTTTCTTTACAACTTACCTTTTTGTGGAGCGGGTCCGGTGTCACCACACCCCCCGCACCTGCCTCGGAATGCCACTGCAGCCAGGTAAGGTGTATATGTAGTTACATTGTTCCAAGCTGGACCAATGTAACTGTGTAAAGATATACCATACCTGGAATTCTTCTTTAACCCATTGTTGGACTGACCATTTGGAAACTCAGGCACTGCCTGAGGGCCAGGGGTCAGTAGGGGGCCCCATGAGATGCCCCTGGTACCTTTTTTCAGTCTTTTTTGAGTTTGGGCAAGGACACAGGGGCCCCATGATCCCCTATTGCCCGGGGGCCCCATGAGTTGTCAGTCTGCCCCTGGACTGGACTAATGACCAGTAGCCACTGGGACTGTCTCCTGATCGTGTGATCACTGTGACAGCCAATCACAACGGTCACACGATTGCGTCACACTAAAAAGGAAGGAAGGGAAAGATCTGCAAATGTATTTTAACACATTAGGTGCTCAAATATCTCACATAGGCTCTGCGCTGTACACCCGAGGGCAAAAAAGTCTTCTACAAATCACTGAAAACAGAAAATCAATATAATGTCAGGCAACTAGCGTTTTCAGAAGCAGCCAAGCAGTGACAGCCCACATGTTCCCTTCAGGTTCCCTTCAACAATGGTGTACACAGTGCGGAGACTCCATGAATCAGGGAGCAGCCTCCCCTGTACAGCGCTTACATCTATACCCATTTTCGCAGATAGCACACTCCATCCAGCAGGTGGTGCTAGGCGCAGGATCAAAGCGTGCGCTTTGCCTCAACAAAGATGGCGGCTCTAATCTGCCAGAGCTTGGGCGCTTCCGCCCTGTCTTGTGCCTCAGTTTCCTCCGGACGTGGTTTAATAGGAGTGTAAGATACTATGGAGCAGGCGAAGATGGCTTCTCCTAAAAGTGCGCCCAAGGATGCTCAGGTAAGTCGGATGGTCAGCTGTGTGTGGTGCTGGCAGGTTGGCTGTGGAGGGTGTATACAGATAAGGGAAGAGGCTGGCTGGAGTGGAAACCTAATCAGGTGTCCTCAGTCCTGGTTGTCTGCAGTGTTTCATGGACCGAGGATGTCCTAGGGGGAGGTCTGTTGTTTGATGGACAGTACAGGGTCCCTGGTATATAATGGGAAGCATATCATTCACACCTACCATTTGCTTCAATGGTTTGCCCTACGTGCGACAAATGTGCTCCTGGAGATATTATTATTATTATACAGTATTTATATAGCGCCAACAGTTTGCTCAGCACTGTACATTATAATGGGAGACAATACAGCAACAATACAGTACACGAGGGGTTCGAGGGCCCTGCTCCTTGGATCTTACAATCTAGGAGGGAGGGGAGAGTGGTACAGGAGGAAATGGCTGTGTGGGATGGAGTGGTGGGAGGAATGGAGGAGATCGGCTGTTAGGTGAGGGCGGGGTAGGCTTCTCTGAAGAGATGGGTTTTCAGGGTGCGCCAATAGGTGAGGAGGGTAGGTGACAGTCTGCTGGATTGGGGTAGTGAGTTCCAGAGGATGGGGGAAGCTCTGGAGATGGGCATGTAAGGAGGAGACCAGGGAACTGGAGAGTAGGAGTTCTTGTGAGGAGCGGAGAGTGCGTTTTGGGAAGTAGATGGATATCAGGTCGATATCTGCCGTGTTCTGGTTTGTGCGACAAATGTGGCGGCGCAGCTCCTGGAGATATCTTGCGTGTGCGACAAATGTGGCGGCGCAGCTCCTGGAGATATCGCGTGTTCTGGCATGTGCGTTTTGTTGTGCGACAAAATGCACGTTTCCTAGCTGCGTTTGGGGAGCCATTAACAATTGATGGCAAGCAAGAGCAAAATGTGTGGGTTGTGTGTGTGGTTTTTTTTTTTTTTTTTTCTTCACAATCCCTCACCACAGATGTGGATGGAGACCCCAGTTGCACTTATGCATTTTGTAGCTCGAAGCCGCTCAACAAGCATAAATCCATTGTTTTCAATAGCCTTTGTTCACATTTGAGCGTCCTTTTGCTTGTAGCAAAATATCTATCGCTCAGAAAAGTACATGAGCTACTCTTCAGGCAGAATTCAGCCTCATAATCATGCGAGGAATTGCTGCAGTTCTGCCTGCGATTTCAAAACGCTCTGCTAAGATGACATATTGCAGAACTTCTTTTGGGCAACATGTGTCGCCGCAATTGCAGTACTATTTATAGTAGCAGAACCGCACCACGTTTTCAGATGCCATTAAAATGAATGGCACCTGAATATGTGGATCCGTGATTTGTCATTTTAACAAAAAACAGTGAGTTCTACTAAATTGACAAATCGCAGAATCACATGTTCAGGTTCCCTTCCTTTTAAAGGGAACTGAAACGCGGTGCAATTCTGCTGTGTGTGATGTGGTTTGCTGCAATTGCAGCACGATTTGTCCAGCCAGAACCGCACTGCTATTTCAGGAACCATTAATGTGAAAGGCACCTGAACACATGGTTCTGCAATTTGTCATTTTAGAAGAGCGTTTTGAAATTGTTCGCAGAATCGTGGTGATTCTGCCCCCTGCAATTCAAAATGCCCATGTGTGAATGCAGCTTTAGGCCCCATGTACACGGGACACTTCTGAAGGATGGAAACTGACTGGAAAACGTTTGCATAATGCGTTTAGAAGCGTTTTTTAAAGATAAGCACATGAGAACCTCCCAAATGCCCAGAATGCACTGAAAAGTGGTAAATTAACTATTCCAGAGACAGAGAAATACACAGAGAGCAGCATGTGTTGACATTAGCTAGGTGTGAGTTGCTCATTAACATTTCTTTTGTTTCCAAGGGTGGGAAGCTGTCTGGTGGAGGGAGTCATTAAGGTCACCTGGCAGGGGGTCTTCAATGAGAACTTGAGGTGTGAATGGACATTAACATATCTTTCCTTTCCAAGGGTGGGCGAGGTCTGAGGTGTGAATTGGTCACTACAATGTGTGACAAGCTTGGTAGGAACATCCCTTAAGTGTTTTGTCCACTTGAGTACCTTGAAAACGCTTTGCATGCATTTTTCATGATGAAAAAAGGCTTTGGAGAGCATCGGGAACTGGAAGAGTTAAAAAAAAAATAAAAAAAATTTCAGACGCAAACGCTTATAAATGCGATTTGCCGCATTTACAAGCGTTTTGCACTTTTAATGCTGATAAAATTGCCTGCTGAACGCAAGTTTTCTGCGTTAAAAAAAAAAACAACTGTAAACTCAAATGTCTGTAAATGAAGATGTGTACATGGACACAGAAATACATTAGGGTGAGTTCAGGGGCTGCTGAAAAAACACTGAACAGCTCCTAAACGTGAGTTTATCAGCTGCAGTGTACATGAGCCCTTAAGCTAAAAAAAGTTTTGGAGCCACTTTTGTAGCTCGATTCAAGCAGATTGGTGCATTTTGATTCCGATAGATTTTTATTGGTGCGTGCAAAAACACACAATACACACATTTTTAAGCCGATTTGTTCAAACAGCAACAAGTGATACCACAGATCTGTTCTCTATAGACTAATACAAAAACATCCTAAGCTCAAACGCTGGAACAAAACATGGAAAACTGCAACACTGGGGTATGAATGCAGCCTAACGCCGAGTTGACCCCCGAGCAATTTGCAGTATACACTGTGTGTACAACTATTAGGTGAGTTGTATTTTTGAGGATTCGTTTCATTATGGAACAACTACAGGGCTCTCGGTCAATCCAAAATGTTAGTAAACCTGAATATTTAAGGAAGTAAAAGTGAGGTTTTTGCTTTCTTAGGAGAATATCTATGTGTGCACAATTATTGGGCAACTAGTAGTATGCAGAATTATTATGCAACTAGATGAAAAATTTCCCATCTCTCTTGTTTATTTTCATTGCCATTTGTTAAATTGAGAATAATAAACAACTCAAAATTTACAAATAAAAATTTCCAACATTTAAAAAAAAAATCAGTGACCAATATAGCCACTCTTTTTTTCAATAACAGTCATAAGCCATGGAGTCTTTCAGTTTCTTGATCAACGTTTTGTGCAGCAGCAACCACAGCCTCCCAGACACTGTTCAGAGAGGTGTACTGTTTAGGGCCAACATGTTCTCAATAGGGTTTAGGTCTGGTGAGGAAGGGGGCCATGTCATTATTCTTTCATCTTTAAGGCCTTTACTGGCTAGCCACGCAGTGGAGTACTTCAATGCATGCGATGGAGCTTTGTCCTGCATATATATCATGGTCTTCTTGAAAGATGCAGACTTTTTCCTGTACCACTGCTTGAAGAAAGTGTCTTCTAAATACTGGCAGTATGTTTGGGAGTTGATTTTGAGTCCATCTTCAACCATAAACAATCCAACAAGCTCATCTTTAATAATACCTGTCCATACCAGTACCTGACCTCCACCTTGCTGGCATCTGAGTCGAAGTGGAGCTCTGTGCCCATTACAGATCCAGCCACAGGTCTACCCATCCGGTCCATCGAGTCACTCTCATCTCATCAGTCCATAAAACCTTTGAAAAATCTGTCTTCAGATATTTCTTGGCCCAGCCCAGACTTTTAACATATGTGTCTTGTTCAGTGGTGGTCGGGTTTCAGTCTTCCTTACTCTGGCCATGTCTCTGAGCACTGAACATCTTGTACTTCTGGGCACTCCAGGTAGGTTGCAGTTCTGGAATATGACAGTACTGAAGGATAATGGGTTCCTGGTAGCTTCAAGTTTGATTGATTCTTCTCAAATCTTTTGCAGTTAATTTACATTTTTTTTTTTTTTTTTAAATCAACACGTTTCTTGCAACTCTGACTATTTGCAACAAAATGTTTGATGGTTCTGTGATCCATCCAGTAATTTTAAGAGTGCTGCATCCGTCTCAAAGGCTTTACAATTTTTGAAGATGCCTAATAATTATGCACATCTTGATGTAGGGTGTTGATCTCCTTAGGCCATACCCTCCCTCATTACACAAATACACATCACCTGACAAGCTTAAATCCAATAAGCAGTCAAGTATTTACAACTTAAAGTTGGACAATGTGCATAAAAATGATGATTTGGTCAAAATACTCACCTGCCTAATAACTGTGCACACAATGTAGACTTCAGTGAAAGCACCTGAAATCATACTTTTTTGTGTGATTTCTTGCCTCCCCTCTTTCTAGTAACTGGCTTTCTTAGGTAGAACACAAAAACACTCAACACTTGTACAAACATGGAAAAGAAATGCTCCAAAGTTGCCTGAAAATGCTCACACTGATTGGGGACTAAAAGAAGAAGCAGGAAATATGTTTCTGGTGACCCGTGTGTTAAAATGTCACTGCTTTGATTTTCCTTGGCCACAGCAAGTTTTTGATTCGGCACGTGTACACACCTGACATACACTTGTGTTTCCGAGCTAAGTTGGATAAATTGATGGAAGTTAGACTCCTGCAATGTGTTCTCATATATTGAACAAATTGTAATATTTATGAAATCATTCTGTTTACAGGTCATGGCCCAGATATTAAAGGATATGGGGATCACAGAGTACGAACCCAGAGTTATCAACCAGATGTTGGAATTCACATACAGTAAGTAAAGGGTGGCTGAATGAATGTGAATTTCAGAAGTTATTGGAAGGTTTTTGGCTTCTCCTAAATTGCTCCTAGTGTGTGTGATATAGAAATAAGTGAGTGAGGCTCAGTTCACATGGATGTTTAGCCACACTACAAATCCCATCGGCAAGAATTTACTGATCCCTGTGGCTGTGATTGACAGCTTTGTGTGGCTAGCAGAGGCCACAGGTATGCATGGCTGTTTTTGCAGCAGACAACAATTACCTGCAGTGATTTCAGCAAGATGCAGTTTGTGCTATCAGCACACAGCTGTCAATGCCAGCTGCAGGAATCAGATTTTTGGTTGTAAACAAGAAGAAGAATAAAGTGTAAAAGTGAGCGCTCCCTGGTGAGCTGCTAAGGCACTGAAGGTAACCAATAAAACCTCATTAAAAACTTAAAATAAGTGCAGCACTAAACATAATAGATATAAAATATCTGTCCATAAATACATCAATCAGAAAGTGACAGTCTGTGCAGATCTAAAATGCAGAATGACAGCAAAGCCGGTATTGGTGCTCCAAATAGTGTGGTTAAATTACACACTCACCAGATGCGTAATGTATATACGCATAAAATAAATCGGTAGAGGTCCCCTGTAGGAGTTGGATATGATCCTGGTCAAGGATGATCCTATGGGCTTTCTTTATGGTCTCCCTCGTGGAGCTATTCATTTGTAGAGCCCACCTGATCCAGCCCTCTTCAGTATCCAGAGAAGGGAGTTCCTGACAACAGGCATCTACACCCATCCATCCCTTAAAGGGACCTCTGGCCAGCTGGATCATTTACCCCCTGTGAGCTCCTGACAGCACCACCTTTGCCTAGAGGGAGGATCATCCTTGACCAGGATCATATCCAACTCCTAAAGGGGACCTCTACCGATTTATTTTATGCGTATATACATTACGTATCTGGTGAGTGCATAATTTAACCACACTATTTGGAGCACCAATACCGGATTTTGCTGTCATTCTGCATTTTAGATCTGCATAGATTCACTTTCTGATTGATTTATGTATTTAGGGACAGATTTTTTTTATATCTATTATGTTTAGCGTTGCACTTATTTATCTATTTTAAGTAGATTTTTGCCACTCGGATTTGCATCGTGGTAAATGCTTATGCAAACGGAGCATAAGGAGTTGGATTTATTTTTTTTTTGGGTGGGTTATTGTGGACGACGGTTGGTCTCCTGTAGACAGTTTGGCGTAGAGTGAGCACAACAGCAATGAATTGCCATACACAACTTTGTAGGCTCCATCCCTCCACTTCCTATAACTAAAGTGAACATGTAGAAGGCATAAGAAGTTGGAGTTTTTTTTTTTTTAAAAAGGAATGCATGGGACAAAGGATTCCTAGCACCGGTGGGCTTCTGTGGGTCTAAAGTCGCCTATCCCTATATTTTCCATGAACGTTACAGATTAATACTATAGGGATCCGTTCAGCCTTCATGCCCAGTTGCTGCTGTAAGCTCCATATTAACACCTGTGGTTTTTGAAATCCCATAGAAAATAACTTTGTTTTAAATGTAATTGAGAAATCCCATTTACCTTTTAGGATATGTAACCACAATATTGGAGGATGCAAAAATTTACTCAAGTCATGCTAAGAAGAACAATATTGATGCAGATGATGTCAGACTGGCCATTCAGTGTCGGACAGACCAATCTTTTACCTCTCCACCTCCAAGAGATGTAAGTACAACACATAAAAGCTTCTCTCTGAACAGTCCAGTGTGTGTCTTACAATCCTATACAGATTTCAGTGCACTGTCTGGCGCATAAGTCCATTCTTTCTACTCTGATCATCACACAGCTTCTCCTCTCACATTGTACATTTAATGTCATAGCTTTGCTCCTCATACTATATGATGCATTTCATAGCCCTTCTCGCACTCTACAGTGCTTGTCATAACCCTTTCCTCACACTTTAGTGTACATGTAATGTACTTCTCCTTGTACTCTATAATGTATGTCATAGCCATCCCGCTCTGCTTTACACTCTACAGGATATGCCAAAACCCTCCTGCACCTCTTCCCTATACTATATAATTGCATATCAGCATTGTTTATCTCCTGCAACCTCTTTGCAGACACTTGCTGTCTACATGTGGTAGAGCAACTGCTTCACATGATTTCTCACAGCAGGTTTCCTAATGGTAACAACAGTGTAACATGCCTGTACACTTGTAGTGTCTAAAAGGTGAACACGTTACAGGGTGGCAATGCAGGTGAACTTGGAAGACAGGTAGGTAGAAAGCGTTGTCGGCATATAATGGGAGGTGCTTGCACATGGACCTTTATGGCAAAATCGGCAGGTTTTATTTGAATGAAAGCTGTAGATTTAAAAATATTAATCATGACTTTTAATTTTTTTTTTTAACGTGAACTTATGAGATTTTAATGACTGGGTTTTGCATATGCTTTTAAGCTCTTTAATGCAAGTATTCAGTTTATACCGCCAGTTTTAATTTTCTATTGCAACTTTTTTTTCTACTTATTTGCATATGCTAATTTTATATTTATTATGTACAGTATACCTATTTTTTATTTTGTAGTTTTTATTAGATATCGCAAGACAGAAGAACCAGACACCACTTCCTTTAATAAAACCATACGCAGGACCCAGACTGCCTCCAGACAGATATTGTCTGACGGCACCAAACTATCGGCTTAAAACAATACAAAAAAAGGTATGTCCCTTTTTTGCTGGTTTTTGGAAAGCTATGTAAAAGCAAATGTTTAATAATATTTATTTATTTTTTTTTGTGAGCACAAATGTTTTGTTTCCTACGTCTTGAACATAAGTGTTTCCTGATGCCCTCTGGCTAATTTTGGCAAAGGAATTGTTGCTTGATTAACCACTTCCTGTATATATGCGTCATTTAGCATTTTTCGGGTAGGAGGCACAAACCCTATTCGCGGCCTTGGCTGTCAATCACCAGGTCCCGGACGGTGATTACTTGTTGGCACCCGGTGATCGAGGAGCATTACTGATGAAGGAAGAGAACTGTATGTAAAACAATACCGTTCTCTCTCCTCTCAGCTCCTGCACACTGATATGCATGGCTTTGCATAGCAGAGCCATGCAAAGCAGTGTGCTTACAGTGAAGCACACAGTTAACCCTTTGATTGCCACACATGTTAACCCCTTCCTGCCCAGTGCCATTAGTATAGTGTTAGCGCTTTTTATTAGCACTGATCACTGTATTGGTGTCACTGGGGATGTCAGTGACACCAAGTCGGCTCCCCCCAGTGTCAGAATGCCTGCCGCAGTCCCGCTATAAGTCTCTGATCGCCACTATTACTAATGAAGATAAAAAAAAAATCTGTGTGTATATGTGTGTGTGTGTGTGTGTGTGTGTGTGTGTGTGTGTATATATATATATATATATATATATATATATATATATATATATATATATATATATATATATATATGTGTGTGTATATGTGTGTGTATTTATTAAACCACCATTCTGTAAACGCTATAACTTTCACATAAATTAATTTACACAAATCGGGTTGTTTTTTTTTTTTTTTTTTTTTTTTTTTTTTTTTTTTTATAGCAAAGGTCTAAATTTATGACAACATGATTTTATTTTATACTGGACATGTTTAATAACAAAATGTCAAGAATATTTTTTTTTTTCCCTCAAAATGGCTGGGTTTTTTTTTTTTTTTTCTTTTCAAAGTGCAAAAAATAAACACACAGGCAATCAAATACCACCAAAAGAAAGCTCTATTAGTGGGAAAAAGGACTGAAATTTAAATTGGGTACAGTGTTGCATGACCATACAATTGTCAAAGTACTGCAGCACCATAACACATAAAATGACCTGGTCAGGAAGGGGGGGTAAATCCTCTGGAGGGCAAGTGGTTAAACATTAAGTATCTGTAATGGAACTTTAGCAGTTGGTTGGCAGAATAGCAAACTTTTGTGTTGGTTTACAAAATTTTGAACAGTAAACTCTGCAGGAAAAAAACTAAGTATACCATGGCAAGCAAAGTTCTGAGATATTCTTCAAGGAAAGTGCGGGAGGGGGAGGTGAAGTATCAGCCAACATGGTGCCCAGATGTGTGCATAAAGCATATTTTATGATATAATATCACACCCCTCCGTTGTGAAGGCATGTGCAGTTTCCATGAGTGTGTAAAAAAAAAAAAAAAAAAAAAAAAAAAAAAAAAAATTGCGCATTTAAAAGATATCACCTTTAAAAAAAAATAATGCTTTTTTTCAGGTAAAAAATTGTGCATTTTACTTTTTTTTTTTTTTTTTTTTTTTTTTTTTCTCTAACTTTCTTAGGTGCCTGGAAAGCATTGCACCTGAGATCAGAAGATTGCAGGTGCAATGTCAGGCTCCTGCAGACTTATCAGTGTAGCTGTGTGCCTGTACTTCCCAATGCAGGCATTTCAGTCCAGGAAGAATCAATGAATTATGAGGATACTCACAAGCACCCTCGTAGATCACTGAGAACTACAAGTCAGACGCAAAGGCTGTGTGCACTAGTTTAATTCACAGAACTCTGAAAAGAGCATGGCCGTGCAGGGTTCCACCCACAGGGCTGCATCATTCATTCACAAATTCTGACAGCTGACACACGGACAAGAACCCCAGTTTGCTGTCACAGGAAGGGGGGCAGAGGGGAAAGGCTGCAGGAGTGGGACCATGTTACATGTTCCACCCTAAAAATTGGTGGAACAGTCAGCATGTTCCCGAAGGTAAGCTTATCCTTTAATATAAGGAATGTCAGAAGGAACACTGTGTGCCTTTCATGCATCTTCATGGATTGCAATGGCAGAGAGGAGTGAATGCAGCCTTATTCTTCTAGTTTGAATTTAGACCAGTCCACTTACATTTCAAGATGTGTTCCCTGCAGAGACTGTATAAACATCAAGGAGCATGGGTGCAAATACATTTTCACACATTGCATTCTGTTTTTGGTCAAATATTTTGTATATTCACACTGTTGAGTTTCTCTCATCTGTAATTGAAGTGACTATATAATGTTTTCCTCTCCTAGATCCCAACTTCAGCAAGTAGAATAACAGTGCCAAGACTTAGTGTAGGAGCTGTGACAAGCAGGCCAAGTACTCCTACTTTAGGTAAGCCTCTAATGGCCTAGTTAAGGCTACTTTCACATTGAGGAGTTTTTGAAGCGTTTTTGCGTTTTAAAAAAAGCGGCTGAAAAGCTCAAGAAAAAAATGCTTCCCTGTGTATGTGAATGTATATCTGTGTAAGTTTTCACACTGAAGCGTTGCAGTGCGCTGTAAAAAACTCCTGATTGCAGCATCTTTGGGGCATGTTTGGTGAGTTAAAGAGCCCCAAAAATGCCTCTTCCATTAAAATCTATGAAACCACCTGAAAAGCACCTCAAAAACACCTCTGGTGCATTTTTTAAGTCACATGTCCTTTTTAAATGCTTAGAAATGTGGCAAAAACACCTATGCGTTTTTGCGGCAGATCAGTGTGAAAGTAGCCTAAAAAAACTCACTACTTGACATTGTTTGCATTGCAATTATTCTGATAACTCAAATGCTTTTTAGAAAAGAAAAACAAAACTTTTTATGGCACAAAACACTAGTAGTTTCACAGTTGTTTGCCTGATAATTGTTTCATTGAAATCAGTGGAAACACATAAAAATGCATGTCAATGAGCTTAGTGCGTTAGTACACGTTAGAGACATGCAATACTTTGTATTGATGTACATTCTAAAGTGCAATGCTTGTTGACATAGATGCATTTCTATTGATTTCAATAGGAAGCACATTAGCCAAAAACACAAACTGAAATCTGTGTAGAGGCCCATTACTATTTATGGGATTGCTGCTCTTTGAGGGATGAACTTTTTAGCTAATGCTTAATTTTACAGAATGGTAGAATCGTTTTTTGAAATATAATTTGGCTTTATCTGCTTTGAAATCCATGCATTCCAGACATGTTTTGGATACCAAATGTTTGTGTACTACTGTTTAAACACCGATGAGTTTTACAATCTATACAGAAGAGATATGACTTGTACCTGTTACTTTATCACCTAATTTGCAGCAATTGAAACAATGTATTTTTTTTTGCTGAGTAACCTTAATGCTGACCACCCTTTAGCTACAAGCTAAAACAGTCAATGCTGGAAAGAAAGTTGCATTTTCACCACCTGGTTTATAGCTCCTGTTAGAATTTGAGTGTATGTGCTGAGCTGATGATGGAGTCTGCGATAGATTGCTGTTATTCCCTATAGACCACACTGTGTCTCTGCTATCTGTGAGACAGCATATGCATTCTGTTCTAACAGGAGCTGCAAATACTGGAGGCTAAACTGTACATCCCAAGAACGTCACGACTAGAAAAAAAAAAAATCCATTATCCTAAATTCTGTTTAAAGGACACGTGAAGTCCTAACTTGCGTTTTTATATTTGTTACGAATGGTAAGAAAAAAAAAAAAAAAAACTTGGCCAGCTGAGGATAACGCATGCCTCAGTTTTTGATTTTGTTAGGAGGATGGACCTTTCTTCAGTTCTGCTGTAAGGCTAAGATCATACTAGCTTTGTTAGCAGGTGTTAGACAGGCGTTTGGGAAGTGTTTTTAACGCTCCTTAAACGCCTATGAAAATTCTACACATGGCAGCACACAGTGCTGTTCACACTGAAGTGTTTGAACATGAGGCATCAATTTTGCCATGATGCTGTCAGGAGTTGAAGCTTCCCATATAAGTCTATGGTGACACTCCTCAAACGCCTGGCAGATGTTTGCGGGGCGTTAATACCATTAAACTTCATTATAGTCGTTTGTGGTGCGGTTTTAACACTTGGCAAATAACTCAAAAATGCGCATAGGGCATTTTGAGGAGTGTTAAAAACCCTTCCCAAAGGTCTGTCTAACGCTTGTCAGACGCTATAGGGGCATTTGTTAAGAGTTCGAAATTAGTCAAGTGTGAACGAGCCCTTAGACTAGCCTGTTTTTGCCAGCACTTTTTTTTTTTTTTTTTTTTTTTCCCTTTTACTTAAGACTCTCCTCTGCATCACAGCTAGAGCTCGTCTCGCCAGTTGCAGCTATCCAGTGTGGCTGTCATCAGATTGGATATTGGAGTATGTTGCTTTTGGGCTCAGCTGGACAGGGGGTTACAGGGTTTGCCTGGAAGTGCCCTTCGGGCACTGGGTTCTGCGTAAGGCACTTTAAAGGCTTCCCTCTGGTTAAAGTTTGCCATAGAGCAGCTGGTATTGTCCTATCTCTAAATAATCACTGTGTGAATAGGCTGTTTGGGCCTAGCACTGAAAGCTGTAAAATTTCCTGTTTGTTACTGTATTTAAATCTGCTACTACATCGAACACTCCTCATTCATCCAGAGTGGTGTCTGTATAATACAGGAGGTGTTACCAGGTGATTGATAAGCTGCAATTTTTTTTTTTTTTTATCAAATTTATTTTAATAAAATGCTTTTGGAGTAAAAATCTATCTAAAGATCATTTTCTATTTAAGATGCATTTAATGATTGATTTAGTTTATTTAGCATGAAATGGAGCTTAGTTATGTAGTATGAGGCTGTATATTCTGCTATATTTACATTTTTGGTAAACTCATTCAATGAATTCAAGCTGAGATAACATGCACTTATTAACCCAAACTCTGTTCTGATATTTCTGTTTTACTAACCTGACAGCTTATTATTCTAAAAAGGAAACCTTCATTTGGCTTGCTAATATTAAAGATTCTCACTATCAACAAGAATGAGTCGGATTTCTTACATTTAAAGAGCACCTGTCATTTTAGATCCATCATGGCAGCGCCTGTTGGCGAGCATCCGCTCACCTGCTGCCACCACGTCCCTCACTTTATGTCATTGCCACATCATCAGCCGTCCCATTAAAGTGAATGGGACTGGCGGTGAGTCAACAGCGGGTTAGAAGAGGAGCCGCTGCGGGACAGAGATGACAGTTACTCTTTAAAAATTATGAATAAATTTGAGCCTTTTCACTAGTGATTTAAATCAAATCCACCCTGATTAGGGCTGTCGTTGCCCGTCTTCAGTGAGACGTTACACTACCAGTTTGTAGCCCTGCTCTTCAGCCTTCCACCAGATGTTTACCATGGTACTGTCCCCTGTATTACCCCACTTCGCACAATTAGGCCATCTTTTATGTATCTTGTACATGAATAAATTGACTTGGCAATCTCCTATGCTAACTTTCCAGTCCAAGAGTCTGCTCTTAGATGCAAGTTGCACTCCAGACCTCCACAGCGCAACGTTCTGTTGTCATGGGACAAATCAATTTAGGTCAGTGGTCCGACTAGTTTATTTGGCACCAAGGACGAATTATTTTTTTTTTTTTTTTGTAAAATATAAAATATGAGGTTGTACAGGGTAAAGGGAGATGCCCATATACCCAAGAAAAACCAACAAACTGTGTTAACCAAGTTACCATAGGTGTCAGATGCTCTTACAGGTTGTCAATTTAGAGTTCAGCTGGTCCTATAACCAGCAGGCTGAACAAAGAACACTCAGATCCCCACATCCATACAAGTGATGTGGATGCATGAATCCCCCCCCCCCCCCCCCCCCCGTGTTACTATATATTGTATTCTGTCAGTGGGGGCTCCTCCTTTCTGTCAGAATACACTAATCAGAACTACAGCAGCTTATCAAATGTTGTTTTTTTTTTCAGCAGGACTGTTCGACAGAAGCTGGTCTAACAACTGGCTTCTTTTGAATGAAGAGGGCTACACAAAATTTGTGCTGTTCCTGCTGGACAGCTTTAACCATGAGTAATGACCTTAGAAATATTGCTGTCAATGATGACGTGCAGCACAATAGGTGGTGTGTGTTTTATATATGCACCAGGGGCAGGTGCAGGGATGGCTCACTTTTTGGGTGCACTTCTCACCCCCCCCACCCCCCACTCAGTTTTATTACTATCCTATAGGGCAGGGGTCTCCAAACTGCAGCCGGATGTGGCCCTTTGCCACCCTTTATCCGGCCCTTTGGGGCACTATTCCTCCCACAGAGACCAACAATGGGCAGTACTTCTTCCCATGAAACCAATAATGGTGTACTATTCTTCCCTCTAATACCAAGGGTGGGGCACTACTCCTTCTCCTACTGACCAACAACCCTGAGGTCATGTTTATTCTCATTGATGCTGGGGCCAGGATATTTTCCATCCTCGCTCTAATCCGGCCCTCCTAAAGTATGAAGGACAGTATACTGGCCCTTTGTTTGGAGACCCCTGATATAGGGGACCAATATCCCTCTATGTGAGAGCATGTTTATAAAGATAGGTTCTCGCCAATGATGATTTGTGTAAAAGCCTCTGCTGCTGCCAACATGTGGCAGCAATAGGTTTAATGGTATGGCTGTTGAAGCCCAGGTTTTGTGAGACCGAGACATCTCTGAATTTGATTTCTATAATGCTAAAAGCTTCTCGTAGAGGTCAAGTATTGAACATGGGAGGTATACTTCAGTTCATGTGAGTCTCGGGGGTTCCAGCATAGGCGGTTTCTCATGGGATGGTTCCTTTCTTCTTACAGCTGGTCCTAGTTTAACCCTTTACTCTCAACAGCATCATGGGGCATTACATTCTATTTCCAAGGCCTGTTGTCCTCTCAGGCCTGATTAAGACCTCTGTACAGGGAATCCTCTGCAAAGCTTTCTCCTGATAGTTCCTCTGATATTCCATAGGATCTGAATGTAGTTTCAGTTCAGAAACCTCTGTTTTTATACCTTTTACAGACATTACTCTACACAGCCAACAGGTGGTTTTTCTCTGTAGCCATCACTTCTGCGATCCATAGGAACAAAGTGCTATTGAGGCCCAGGACTTCCTTGTCTAAAGTAGCTTCTGCCTTTCGCCTCAACCAGGTTATCACTTCTGTTTTTCTGTCTATCTCCAGTTCACCAAAAGGTTTGCCAGTGTCCAATCCCAAAAGGTTAAGACTTCCTGTGTCCCTAAATAGAAAAATGCTATTTATATAGGCTCTCAGTATTTGTTTTAAACACTTTATTAAAACAAATACACAGTGGCTCCATAACACTCAATTTGCAGAGCATCCTTAACTTTCTAAAGAAAAAGCCCAGCATTTCCTGCTTACTCTTTGGTCAGTTCTCTCAGTAATGAGTCAATACAGGATTTCGCTGTATAGCTAAGAGGATTGGGGCTATGGCCTCTTGTATTGTCTTGCTGTGGATGCTGTTTTTTCCCTCATTGTGAGTCTTTTAATGAAGCTTTCTAATATAGGTGAATTTTTTTTTTTTTCCTTTAAAGATAGTAGTAAAATAAGGCCAGCAAATATGTGGATCTGAAGCCTCGAGCCCCACATTCTGCCTGTGCTGAACATGAAATACTTGTGCTTAAAAGTGTGTTTTACTTACAATTTAAACAAAAATTTTATATTTTGCTCTTGAATTCCATATGAGTGAAAAAAAAAATATAACATTATACATTCCCTTTTGTGCAGTCTAGCATAGCCAGCATTTTCTGTTTTTAATGTATTTATTTTATTTCAGGGACTCCTGCAACACAAACTGTGTCAGTTTCCAAAGTTGGGGGGACACCAGTGTCTTTGGCTGGTCAGCGGTTTACAGTTCAGATCCCCACTTCACAGACAACAGTAAAAACAGGTTAGTAAATTTCTCTCGCTTGTTTTCCTAGTGATTGATAACATATTCATGCAAAAATGAATTTCCTGCTTTTGGTTATAAAACATCTTTACCTTGAAGCAATTTTCATCTACTTGAAGAAATAAAAAATGCATGATTGTTGGAGCCACTGTTAGACAGTGTATATAGAAACAGATCAAAAGCAAATAAAAAGTAAATGAAAAACAGTCAGCACTTGCTGTGAAGATAGGGTAGAATAGAACTACATTACAAGATTATCCTAAGGATTTAATAGACTCACAAACTAGAGACTGAAAGCTTAGACTTCCAAGCATCAAGATTTAATAATAACTGAGAAATTACTGAATGCTGAAATAACTTGACATAGACACCAAGTAGGATAAGACAATAAGGGGTCCATTTATACACTTTTTTTTTCACACAGGTATCACACAGCTTTCAGCCAAGATTTTTATATTTGTATTTAGTTAGAAAAATGTGTAAATGCTGAGTGAAAGTTGTATGACTCCTGTGTGAAAACACATACACAGTGGTGAGCCATTACATTCTGACCACGGACAGGTAAAGTGAATAACTTTGATTATCTCATCACAGTGGCATCTGAAACTGGATGAGGTATATTAGGAAGCAAGTGAACATGTTGTCCCTGAAGCTGATATATTCAAAGCAGAAAAAAAAGGCAAGCGCAAAGATTTGAGCGACTTTGACAAGGGCCAAATTGTAATGGCTAGTCAGACCAACTCCAAAACTATAGCTCTTATGTGATGTTCCTGGAATATGGTTGTCAAGACCTACCAAACATGGTCTAAGGAAGGAAAAATGGCAAACCAGTGACAGTCATGAATAGCCAAGGCTCATTGATACATGTAGGGAGTAAAGGCTGGCCAGTGTAGTCCTAACCAATAGGAGAGCTGCTGTAGTTCATATTGCAGAAAAAGCTAATGCTGGTTTCGTGAGAAGGGTATCAGAATAGTGTATCACAATTTGTTGCAGATGGGGCTATGTAGCTGCAGACTGGTCAGGGTGGCCATGCTGATCTGTGTCTAAAGACAAAAGTGCTTACAATGGGCACATGAGAAACGGAACTGGACCACAGAGCAATGGAAGAAGCTGGCCTAGTCTGATGAAAACCAATGGTTTGAGGAACACAGCAGTGAGCTCAGTGTGTTGACTTGGCCTCCAAATTCTCTAAATCTATGTCCAGTCGAGCATCTGGGGATATGCTGGAAAAGAGTCTGATCCATAGGATCTGCTACTGATGGCTTGGTCGTGCCAGATACCACACATACCTTTTTTAGAGGTGTAGTGGAGTCCATGCCTCGAAGGGTTATGGTGGGGGGTCATAATGTTATGGCTGAGCCTCTCAGGGACAGGGACCTTCTTGCAGAATAGGAGTGATTGTAGTACCACTTATTCAAAATGGAAATTTCCATAATTTTGGTACTTTTCTCTTAGTAAACAAACCATGTATAAATGAGCATTTTGCACTCTGCAAGTCTCACAGGAGAATAATGTTCCTGGTATTTTTCCTTAAAACAAGCCTGTGCTTTGCCCATTCATTTTCCCATACCTTCCTAGCATATACTTGCCTCCCTCAAAACCCCCCCAGCTGATTTCAGTACTAAAGCTGTGACTGCTCCTGGGCGAGTACAGCTCTCAGTGTGCATAGAATTTGTGGGCTGGCATTGGGGAGCAACTGCAATGAAAAATAAGAAATCTGCTTTTAAGCTTTTTGCACACAATGAAATGTATGTTTCATGCATTTTTTGCTTTCCTTTAACAAAATATAGCTTGTTTCCACCAGTGCACTGCAATAATAATACTGACTGGCAGAAATTGGCATCTACTCCATTTTAAGTGTGCTTTTAGTTCTTGTTAAAGTAGAGGACCCCCCCCCCCCCTCAGAAATGCAAACTGCAAATTGTTGGTGTCATTTTTGGTTATCCCTTATGTTTACGATGATCAAAAAATTCTATATAATAATGCTTATAAATGCATTCCAGCTTTTTAAAACTGCATAGTCATCCCTGCCAAACATTTAGGGTTCTTCTGTATTTAGAAAACTGTTTTCATTGTTTGTTTTTCTTATTTTGTAGCCACTCCTACCACGCCAACAGTTCAGAATGTCCTCATAAACCCTTCCTTGATTGGATCAAAAAACATTCTCATAACTACAAATATGGTGCCATCACAGAACGTAACAAGTGAATCCAATTCGTTAAAGCGGAAACATGAAGATGATGAGGACTATGATGTAATATAAATTCTTTATGGCACAATGAGAGTGTACATAACAATAAAGATTAGTAATTGTTGACCTATTTTGTGGAATGATGTTACATTGTATAAGCATTGCAAAAAGTAATCAAGAAGAGAAATGCTTAAAAAAACAAAAAACACTTAATAGTAACAGAATGATGTCTTGTATGTGAGTTCCATTCTTATGCAGGCCATAGACTGGTCGTTCATCGGCCGAATTTTCATTCGCTTGAAAAATCGGCCGATATTCACGGCGTTAGTGGGGCCTGCCCGTCGGCCGTTTTGTGGCTGATCTTCTCGTTTATTTTTATCGGTCTTGCTGGAAAATCATTGGACATTGGTGGTAGCATCGGCAACGGGGCCAACCGATTTTTTTTTTTTTTTTTCTCTTCCCATCGGCAGACAATTCGGCCGATAAATGGCCCGTCTATTGCCTGCATTAGTGTATTTAATTAGGTTTGCTTTTAGTTAGGTTACTGTCTTGGCTGTGTTTTTGTATCCTACATCTGTCATCTATATCAAGGATTTCTAAAATGTGACCCGTGGGCCAAATCCAGTGTGCAGCAAGATTTTATCCAGCCCTCCTAATGTAAAATGGGACTTTGGTGGGGACTCTGATTTAGGGCAGGACTCTGAGAGGGAGACTTTGAGAACTTTCTTGTAAGGGGGCTCTGATGGGACCCTAATGTAGGTAGGGCTTACGTTCATTTGGAATGTCTTTGTTTTATCATATCAGCTTGACATAATTTAGAACATACAAAAACTGCAGAAAAATAAAACACTCCAGGTAAAATGTATTGGCATTAATTACATTTGATTTTTTTCACTTTATAAATGGATTTTTTCAGCATGCAAAAATGTGTAAAATATACATTGTGGCCCTAATGTTAAAGTATGGAGACCCCTGATCTATATCATGGAATTGCATACATGTTTGCAACTGCTAGAGGACACACTTGCCACACTGTGCTGGCAGTACAATTTTTGCACCTGCTAAGCATTTTTGTGTAAGACTGAAATACAGAAAAAAAGGTGCCTGCAGTGTAAACTGTTTCCAGACTTGTATAGCCTAAGGATGGCCATACACTATACAATTTTCTGCCTAATTTCCTTTAGATTTACCTTCAACTATCTAGTGCAAGGGCCTGCCTAACTGGATACAATTGAAAGTGTTGTTGGGTTTGACCTCATATTATAGTTTTTGGTAAATCTAAACCAAAAATCTCAAAATTGTATAATGTATGGTCAGTATTAGCCTCGGTTCACCTATATGCGAATTGGATGCATTTTGAACTGCATCCTATTCACATGATGTGAACAAAAAGCCTTTTCTATTGAGCTGGTGCACATATGTGCGGGCCGGCTGCAGTGTGATTTCAAAAGAAGTCGCTTGAAATTGTGCTACAATCTGGCCTGCACATACAGCTTTTTGAAAAAGTATTCATACCCCTTGAAATTTTCCACATTTTGTCATGTTCCAGCCAAAAACAAAATTTGTGTTTTATTGGGATTTTATGTGATAGACCAACACTTAGTAGCACATAATTGTGAAGTGGAAGGAAAATGAGAAATGGCTTTCAAATTTTTTTACAAACCAATATCTGAAAAGTGTGGTGTGCATTTGTATTCAGCCCCCTTAATTCTGATACCCCTAACTAAAATCTAGTGGAACTAATCTATTATAAATACGTGCAGCGCTAAAAATGAGTATTTATAAATGTCTGTCCATCAGTAAATAAAAATGCCAAAAATGTATCAAATTTGAAGGTGACAGTCTGTGCAGATCAATGGTGCGGAATCACAGTAAAATCCAGCAGTGGTGCTCCAAATAGTGTAGTAAAATAGGAAACATTGCTGGAAGTGGCAGCAGAGGAGGAGCTATTTATTTCCAGAGCCCACCTGATCCAGCTACCTAAAGTATCCAGAGTGGGGAGTTCCTGTAAGCAGGCATCTACACCCATCCATCCCTTTAAAGGGACCTCTGGCCAGCTGGACCTTTTACCTTCCGTGAGCTCCTGACAACACCACCTTGCCTAGAGGGAGGATTATCCTTGACCAGCTTCAGATCCAACTCCTAAAGGACCTCTACTGATTCATTTAATGCATATATACATTACGCATCTGGTGAGTGCGTAATTTTACCACACTATTTTGAGCACCACTACTGGATTTTACTGTGATTCTGCACAGACTGTCTCCTTCAATTTGATATATTTTTGGCATTTTTGTTTATTTACTGATGGACAGACATTTATAATACTCATTATTTTTAGTGCTGCACTTATATGTTTCTAACAAGGTTTTATATTGGTTGCCTTTAGTGCCTTAGCTGCTAACTAGAGAGCGCTCGCTTTATTACTGTATTTTTACTAGTGAGACCAATTGCCTTCAGGAGTCACCTAATTAGTAAATAGTCCACCTGTGTGTAATTTAACCTTCATATAAATACAGCTGTTCTGTGAAGCCTTCAGAGGTTTGTTAGAGAACATTAGTCATCAAACAGCATCATGAAGGCCAAGGAACACACCAGACAGGTCAGGGATAATGGTGTGAAGAGGTTTAAAGCAGGGGTTAGGTTATTAAAAAAAAAAAAATCCCAAGCTTTGAACATTTCGTGGAGCACTGCTCAACCCATCATCTGAAAATGGAAGGAGTATAACACAACTGAAGACCTAACAAGACATGACAGTCCACCTAAACTGATAGGCCTTGCAAGGAGAACATTAATCAGAGAAGCAGCCAGGAGGCCCATGGTAACTCTGGAGGAGCTGCAGAGATCCACAGCTCAGGTGGGAGAATCTGTCCACAGGAGAACTATTAGTTGTGCACTCCACAAACCTGGCCTTTTATAGAAGAGTGGCAAGAAGAAAAGCCATTGTTGAAAGAAAGCCATAAGAAGTCCAGTTTGCGAGAAGCCATGTGGGGGACACGGCAAATGTGAAAGAAGGTGCTCTGGTCAGATGACACCAAAATTGGACTTTTAGTCTAAAAGCAAAACGCTATGTGTGGCGGAAAACTAACACTGCATCACCCTGAACACACCATCCCCACTGTGAAAGATGGTGGTGGTAGCTTCATGTTGTTGGGATGCTTTTCTTCAGCAGGGACAGGGAAGCTGGTCAGAGTTGATGAGAAGATGGATAAAGCCATATACAGGGCAATCTTAGAAGAAAACCCTTTAGTCTGTAAAAGACTTGAGACTGGGGTAAAGGTTCACCTTCCAGCAGGACAACGACCCTAAACATACAGCCAGAGCTATAGTGGAATGGTTTAGATCACAGATCATGTGTTAGAATGGCCCAGTCAAAGTCCAGATCTAAATCCAATTGAGAATCTGTGGCAAGACTTGAAAATTGCTGTTCACAGACGCTCTCCATCCAATCTGACAGCTTGAGCTATTTTGCAAAGAAGAATTGGCAAAAATGTCGCTCTCCTAGATGTGCAAAGCTGGTAAAGACATCCCCAAAAAGACTGGCAGCTGTAAATGCAGTGTAAGGTGGTTCTACAAAGTATTGACTCGGGGGCTGAATACAAATGCACACCACACTTTTGGATATTTATTTGTAAAAATTTTTTTAAAATAATTTATCATTTTCTTTCCACTTCACAATTCTGTACCACTTTGTGTCGGTCTATCACATAAAATACATTTACGTTTTTGACATGACAAAATGTGGAAACTTTCAAGGGGTATTGAGACTTTTTCAAGGCACTGTATGTGAACCCAGGCTAAGTGGTTATTATTGGGCACATTGTGGCTGTACATATATCCTGTATGTTCGTTTGAACTCATGGATTCCCTGTTTAGTGAAGAATAGTTGGGTAATAGTCCTAAAATCAAGCCAGGTGTTTGTTTGGAGCTTTTTTTTTTTTTTTTTTTTTTTTTTTTTTATGCAATGGTTTTCTCAAACCAGTTTGGAAGGGCCTAATTTTATGTCATGTTTGCCTGTTATACTGGAAGTGGCAGAGAGATTCCTTCCACACACGGGGGAATGTACTAACACTGGAGCAGATGTGCATGGCAACCAATAAGCTTCCAACTTCAGCTTGGGCAATGAAAAATAGAAGCTAACTTGTCATGCACAGTTTCTCCAGATTCTGTCTGCACCAGTCTTGGGATACTGTCACACTGCTCTGTATGAAAAAAGCATCAAAAACACATGCGTTTTTGCCACGGTTTTCTGTGTTGCGTTCTAAATTTAACACAATGCATTATGCGTTTGCCCCATAGCACTTCCCACTATTCTAATGCAATTTACATGCAGTTTCCAGTGTGATTATTGATGTGACTTTGAGACTTTAGAAGTTCACAGAATTGCACGACAAGGGAAATCACATTACAGTGCATCCAGAGAGTATTCACAGCGCTGAACTTTTGCCACATTTTATGTTACAACCTTATTCCAAAATAGATTAAATTCATTCTTTTTTCCTCCAACATTCTACAAACAATACCCCATAATTTATTAAGAATAAAGTATGAAAAAAAAACACATGTACATAAGTATTCACAGTCTTTGCTCAATACTTTGTTGAAGCACCTTTAGCACCAATTACAGCCTCAAGTTGTTTTGAGTATGATGCTACAAGCTTGGCACACCTATTTTTGGGCAATATCTCCCATTATTCGCAGTACCTCTCAAGCTGTACCTGTAGCTTCGCAGTACCTCTCAAGTGTCGGTACACAGTCATTTTCAGATCTCTCCAGAGATGTTCAAGTCTGGGCTCTGGCTGGACCACTCCAAGACATTCAGAGTTGGTACGTAGCCACTCCTTTGTTATGTGGGCTGTGTGCTTAGGGTTATTGTCCTGTTGAAACATGAACCACCGTGCCAGTCTAAGGTCTAGAGCACTCTGGTTTTCATCAAGAATGTCTCTGTATATTGCTGCATTCATCTTTCATTCATTCCTGACCAGTCTCCCAGTTCCTGCTGCGGAAAAAAACATTCCCACAGCATTATGCTGCCACCACCATGCTTCACTGTAGGAATGATATTGGCCAGG